TGGGGGGCGTGTTTTTAGAAGTGCTTAAATGGTAGCTTTTCATTTTAATATAATCACTTTAATGCAGAAAATCCCTTAGGCATAACTGAGATCTGGGATCCACACCGCATCTATAGTTAGAAAACAGATCAAAGAAAATTTAAAGAAAGGACTGGATGCTTGTAATCCATAATAACATTACGAATTCATTCAGCATGCAAATATTATTCTACTTGACATTTGGCAGACTTTTAAAGTTCCACACTAAACTACTGCATGAATTCAGATAGTTTAGAAAACACATATTACGTAAAATGTATTAAGTTGACATGTTCAAAGTCCCTAAAACAGAGCCTTAAAAAAGCACCTTCCACGAAAGTGATCGGTTCTACTAGTCCATAGACAGCACATCAAATATTAACATAGGAAATGAATTGCTGAGTAAACTCTCGGCTAATTACTACTTCTTATTTTCTAAATACTGAGCAAGCCACTAAACTCAGATTAGACCACATTTTACCAAATTGAAATGTGCCTACTTCCAGGCTAATTTTTGTCTCTACTCTTGTACCTACTTAAGCCCCACTCCATAAAACAACAAAGACTTCATGACAACAAACTTCACGAAAGAGCTTACAAGCCCAGGAAGTAAGAACCAAACTCCGTTCATGCCTGAAAGAACACGCTCTCTCATACGTGTTCCCCTAGGATTCTTACTCAGCGAGACTTTCTTAGGACTTACTGAAAGACAAAGAGGTGCCCTGCGTAAAGCTTATTCTGTTAATAAACCCAGGAAAAATCTGCAGCACCCTGAACAATAAGAAAGAGTGGAAGTTCAGGTAACTGCGCTTCATCAAAAATAAACAGTCTGGCTGGAAAAGTGATTTTCAGGCACAGTCGCAAAGTATAGGATATCCATAAAGATATTCTGTGGGGAACCCATGGTTTGCTGCCAAAAATTAAATGCTGTGGGAGTGGTTCTTATGCATATCAATAATTTATCTGTAAATCATATCTGCTAGATTTTAAAATCCCACATCCATATAAGAAACTCCATCTTAATCGATTATTTCCTCTCTCCCTCTGAATAAAGTCCTATCTTAGAGAAAATAATCTTCACAGCGTTACGACTTCCTTCATTTTGGTTAGATAGAAGAAAAGCAATGGCTAGGGACATATGTCTAAACATAGGCTTGTATTTGATGAAAGCCTCTAATAATTTTCTACTCAATTCTAACAGATAATTTCCCTAAAAAGAAAATTATTATAGAGTCCAACATTAGATATTTCAGAAACATTCCCTCCTAAAAGTATTCTTCCAAGCAAAAAAACTAAAAATAAGATCAAGATCACGCACGAAAAGACTTAGTGTGACTGGGAATCCCTATTATATGTACTAAGTTAAAATTAAAACAAAGCAGGATCTTTACGATTCCAAGGCTGTGCTGATTGTCATTTGAAGCTGGAAGGTTCTTCCTTAATGCACAAGCGATTAAGTGTACATAAGGCCTAGGAAAGTTACCTTATCTGAAGTATCAGATATAGATTACTGCTGGAGTCAGCATGCCACACTAGTTGGATCCATACAGTCTGTTCTGATATGAGGAATTAAGTTTCCTTGATGTCACATATTGAATAGATAATGCCATTAACGTTTCCTTTGAAGTTCACATTGACCAGGTAGCCACTAGAACAAGTTGGCAAAACTTCACTGAAGTCACTGAAGTGCTCTTGGCTCACTCAGACTGAGGCCTGATCTACAGCAATATATTAAGTGCCAAATCCCTAGCGAGGTATTTATAAATTAAAATTTATTCTACCATGTAAACATAGGGATCCTCTAGTTCCTATATGGAATTTCCCAGATACAGCATGGAAAGGTCAGAATGAGTGCATATTCTCTGAAGGGTGGACCCCCCAGCCATTAAACCACTCCTGGAGTGGATGGACCTTTGGAAATCCCAGGCAAGGGGCAAGGGTCACGCCTTTCTTCCTCACCTCTTCCCACTAGGCACAATTTCCGGGTAGAACAAGAGGTCCTGTCTGAAGAATCAGATGTTTGGCAAGACTACAAAAAGGAAGAGATCTGTTATAAAATGTCCCATTTGTCACTGTTTACTCTGGAATACAAGACGGCACATGAAGGCTGAAGTACTATTGAAGTTTCTTGCCCATTTTATTACGAAATTTGCTTAATAATCTTTTGCTGAAAAGGTACCGTTGATAGTTTTATAGTTTCTAATGATTAAGCAATTCTGAGACTGCCTAAGAGTAAGGGTAAGGCCGTGAAGAATTTACATGAAGACTAGGCATTTATAGCTGTTCCTTTGGGACACGCCAACTAGCGTAAATTATATCATCACGCTGTCTGACATTATGATTGACGTGTTTATGATTAAACCAATAATTCAGGACTTTCATGCATTTAAACAAAGGAGGTAACTAAATGATTAATTTAAAAAAGGAGAAAAAGAAACAAAGCTAACAGTTCTATGTTCTCGAAAAAGAAAATAACTTAACATGACATCTTGGCTGCTTTACAAGACAAAGTAAATATTATAGACTCAAAGACTGCATGATTTCCAAGAGTCTTAATATTCCTTGGAGACAAAAATAGAGCGATGGTATTTGAAAACTATGTTAAGGATTGCTGATCAGCTAAAGGACTTCAGAGACACTTGTGAGAATAGAAGTTGAAAAGTTATGATTGGTATTTATAAATGTAATAAAGTCCAGAGTATAGTTATAAATACAAAAGAAGCCCTACCAGCTAACACACAGATACAGTCAAACATTAATAACTTGAGCAAAATTATCTATAGTAATGGAGTTAGTCTAAATTAGTAACCAGGAAATATATATACTACATATCAGTCTACTGACATACATACACGATGTGTATCTTGAAATTTCATTTTGTATCTTCAAGCTGTCTAACTACCTAAACAAAAATTTCTGAAGAAATGATTCTGTATCTTCTTACCCCCAAAAGTATATGTAAGTTAAAGCTCCTTTAGAATGCCATAAGAGCAGTGATGATTTTTTTTTTGGCTTCCTTTTAAAGAAGAACTAATGTATTTAGCAATTTGAATAAATAGCACCTCTTTTATTCTCATGCTAGCTTTAGCTAAACAAATGGGTGCTAGACAAATGGGTGATTATTTTCATCTTTTTTTCTCTGAAGGCTTTTTCTTTTGTTTTGTCATGGCTGGTAATAACAGCAGCGTTATGAGAATTCTGTTCAGGTTTGAAACAAAATCTCTCTCTCCCCTCCATTGTTCGTGCTGTCTGGAGAGCACGAACACAAAATCCCCTGATTCACGTGAAGAAAGGGAAAAATGCGTACCTTCTGTTGGTGATGTCTTCAGATGTCTGCAGAGCCCCTCTGTTTCCCCATATGTCTCTTTAATTTTTACTACTGCTTCTGTTCCTCGCAGTTCCATGAGGGAGCGCAGTTCTTGCAGCGTGCACCCAAACTCTCCTGCATGGTTGGCCTCGTTTCTTTGGTTCTTGGAATAAAAATCGCTGTTTGTCATGTCACCCATTGTTGCTGATTATATTGCTCCACTCTTTATAGTTGATACAATCTTAAAAGTGTTTAAAAATTGAAGGAAAGAAATCTCAAATTCCAACCTAAGAAATTAAAAAGAATCCAGTTTGTCCAGCAGGCGAAGTGGAGAATGCCTCTGACGTGCAAGCTGTCCCTGACTTGACTAGCGGTCCGCAGAAAGGCTGCTCTCAAGGCTGCAGACCAGCTCCACTCCATCCACTGTTTCCCATTATGCTGCTCTCAAGCTGTAGAATCTACATGGTCATTTCTTCCTGTGGACCTTTGGGAACAAAGGTAAAGCATGCATTACGAGAGAGAACGATAACACTCTACAAAGAAGATTTCAAATTCATTCTCGGTGCAATCTGATTTTTCATTTAAGAAAAGCTAGACAGAAACACCACACAGATGTGCTATAAAACGCTGCAGGTAGTCAGAGCTATCACCAAAGACAAGGATACCACCAGCTCTGTCATACATAAACCTCTCTCCAGCTAAAGCACCAATAGCAGTGTTGCTTACTTTATTCAAGTCCCAAGAGCACCCGCTAAATGAGATGGCTCATGAATATTAATAAGCCATTAGTCCCGCATTCTAGATGAACCTCTAGTATGCGCTCTGGTTCATACAACCACGTCAATCTTTCATCTAACAAGAACAAAAACCCCCATAAAGCCTGCAAAGCAGAAAAAAATTAAACACAATTACATTCTAATATTTTAACCCATTTTAAAAACTAGTCTTCAGTACAAGGAAAGTAAAATTGGTGGAAAAACTAGAAACAATCATTACAAATTCAGAATACATTTAAATATATTACATTTTGCAGCCTTGCCTTCTACAAAACATCCCCCAGAAAAGAGAGAAAACACTTCAGTGTCTTCGTCTGAACAAGGGCTCCGTCTCATAAATAAGGCGGCTGCTAGTTTGCTTTCCTTCAGCACTACCCGCTAGCTGACGCGATCCCCAGCAGCTTTGATAGCCAGGCTTGACAGCTACAAAACATTCAAGCGTGGAAGTGCATGCACGTGCACACACTCACACAGTTTTTAACATGTGCAGTGTTGAACAAGTCACATTTGGACCATCTGGTAGACAGCTGATTACTTGCTAAAATCAGCCTTTAAAAGCTGCTTCCCCTTCCCATATTCTAATGAAGCTGGTTTAAATACTGCTGAAACCAGTTATTATATTTGGCATGGAGAGTTTTAACAGAGATTAAAGGTTTCTTTCTGCCTCAAGCGGGTTAGTGCCTGCATACTATCTAATGTGAATAGTTTTTCTGTGATAAAAAAAAATTTTCAAAAGACCACACCATCAGCCTGATGGTCATCGGACTGATGAACCTGTCATAGTCAAAGTGCATATTTTGAACTTTATAGGTACGCTAATACAGAGTGGAAAGGAGTGCACATGTAAAGGACATAAAAAGGATCCCAAAGTATTTCAAGCCCCAGTTTTACCTTGGTGCGACAATTGTAACTTTCTGCCCACATACGGTTAATATAACACGTGGCCTTAGTATTTTTTCACTGAGCAAACTGCACTGTCACATGAAAGAGAGATCAAGCCCACTGTATGCATTAATTCTTCCTTGCCTAAAGTCACATTATCTTCGTTGGAGTTGTCTAATATACCTTAGAAAAACTGAACCTCTACCAGCTCTCTCGTTTACAGGTAACAGTATAATATTCCTTTGATTTCTATAATAAAAAATAAACAATGAAAGTACTAAAGGTCCACTATGATATTGCAGGATGCAGTTAACAAGTCAACTGCTACAGGCTTCTTCTACCCATCCCATTTGTTGCCATATATCCCGGTCTTAGGAACTTCTGGCAACCTTGTTTTCACTTGTTACTTTTCAAGTTCTCAAAAAGAAGAAGATTTCAGCACAAAATGTGACTTACAACTAGCAATAGAGAGAAATCAGACATAGTAATAAAGAGGGGCTTTCTTCACCAATAGCTGAGGAGGAGTTATCCTGCGCTATCAACAACACTCAACCGTCCATGCTTGGATGCTGGACAATGTTTGCAGTTATCAGTCGTTTTCAAGATAATTCCATCCGCACAGCATGTGGAAAAAGCCTTATTTAGTTATTGCTTCATCTGTTTTTAAACAGGATGGATCAGTATTCTGAATAAAAATTAGATTAGCCTGTAGTATTATTTTGGGAAGGAAAAAAAAAATAGAAAAGTCACAAACGTCCGTAAAACAGACGTCATCCCAAGAATTACCGAATCACCACAATCTCCAGGGATGGAATGACTCCCTCCCTCCCTCCCCAAGATCAGCGTTTCAGATTCGTCCCGTTTTCATCTATGAAGAGGCTGCCAGCGGCAACTTATCAAAAAGCAAATTTAGATTTGATCAGAAAAATATTATGAAAACATAAGGAATCAATAATAATAAAGAATAAATAAAACGACAGACTGCTATTTACTTGCAGAGGGTAGAGGAAAATCTCCTCCTAGGATACGTACACATAAAGGTTGGGAACAGCAGGTATCTAGAACAGTCACAATGTTGAAAAAAACAGAAAAAGAAAAAAAAAAACCAGACAGACATTCACCTAACAGAATTTAAAGGACTTTGCTGCTCCTGTTTTATTTTAAACTCCCTTCTAACAAAAACATAAATTCCTGCAAGTGTTCTATAAAACCACAGTAAAGCGACAATTATTCGTTTCTTCTCAGGAGAACCCACTACCAGTTTCATTAGCGGTGCAAAGGATACCAAACTCAACGTCAACAATGTTATCTGCACGACTTTTCTTTGCGGGATGCTCCCATGTCCACCACTGTCAGGCAAGGCTCCTCCTTTGACTCATTGTACCATCACTATTTATGTTTCCTTCTATTCTTAGAAAGTCTACTTGTCATTTGTCAGCCACAGCAAGTCAGTGACGCTGCTTTTTAGCATGAGATTGAGTCATTTGCCTGCTTAATGTTTTATTTCACATGCAATTAAATATTAATCAATAAACAACTAATATGAAGGCTGTGCTTCCTTCAGTACTTTAAAAACAAATCTCTGAGCTTGTGCTCTTCATGATTCACCTAGTGTTGCGGCACGAGGGAAACACTGCCTCACGTTTTTGAGAGGCAGAGGATAAAACATAAAAAGCACAAAGCATGACTAACGTTATTCACTGATAACGTACCTGTCTAATCCTGTGGAACAAGATACGCAGGCTTCATTTGATCCTTGAATCTCTTTTATGAAAAGTCGAGGAACCTTGCCAAGGTGCATACCAGGTTAACGTGACTGACACATGACCACCTTCCTCTCACAGAGCGGTCGATAATTCTTCAGCAAAAGCTGAGAAATACAAAATTTAGGATGGGGATATAGCAATATATTTCCCCATCAGTGGGGTTACAGAGTTTGCAGCTCCGATATAGATCAAACGATTAGAAGCAGACGAAATGTAGAATCTCCTCGGCAGGAAATCATCGCACCAAGTTCAGGCGGGGATTTTTGTTTGCTGGATACTTGGGGGGCGGGGAGGGGGGCAGGGGAGTGTCATTTCACAAAACATACTCAAAACAAAAATATTTCCAGACGTATAAATGAGCCACGAAGAAATGTTGATTATAAAAATATTTATATTCAGGTGATACTTCTACATTTTCAATCAAGAACTACTGAACTTTATTCAGGAATAATGTCACTGAAAAAAAAAACCCCACCCACTGATTTGACTCTCCTCACAGTTATAGGGAGAACCTACCTAACTCATTCACAAAGGGATACCCAGTGTTATTTGAAACTAATCCCACTGCTGTGGTCTAAGCCCCCCGGGGAACGACATCTCCAGCAGTGCAATGTGGGTAAAACTGAGCAAGCTGCACATTTTAGTAGCAGCAGCTCCACACCGCTGGAGGTGGAAAACAGCCAGGGAGCTAAGGGCTTCTTCCTGCACCCTTCAGCGGAGCCCCAGCTCCCTTCCAGGCCTCCAGACCAAAACTTCTCCACCTTTTTAACTCAAGGACCATTCAATTTCTTTAAATTCAAAGACTATCACCTACGATGTGCAACACTGGTTTTAATTTTCAGCCAGACATCTCACAAGTCACAAACCGCATCCGCAACTACTGAGAACACCACTTCTGACATCGCCCCAGCACGCGATCGTTTCCTCCCGCGTTGTGCATGTTTTGCCTCACGTTTTCTTACAGCATACTCAATGGCAACAACCCGTACACAAACCGCAGACAAGTTCGGCAAAAGAGAAATGAAAACCTCCAGTCACTGGAAAACCTGATTTCACACACACAAAGTTACGTTCTTCTTCCAAAGACAATTGCTTTTGTCAGTCACAAAAAGTTATTTCTTTTTATTTATTCTAACTAATGCTTCTTCATGAAACAAGCTTTAGAAACAAGAAATCTGGGCGAGAATTTTCCAAAAGCTCAGTTTCAAAGCAGCATACGCTGGAAAAAACAACAAAATTGCTTCAAGTCTGTTCAAGCAGCCCACCTAGATTCACTTCAGGCAGCAAAAAACTTTCCATACCAGCAAACTTGAGTAAAATACTGTTCTTATTTTTCTCATTAAAAGGTCAAAATGCAAGTCTTCGTCACGGTCATCTCGGGATTTTGTTTTCCAAATATGTTTTTTTTGTTGTTGTAAAAATGCACTGCAAACTAGAACTTTTCCAGAGCAGCTGTCTCAGGGAACAGGCTGCCATTCCTGAATCAAATATTTCTCATCTTCTAGCTGCTTAAAGGAAATGCAGGCCAACTAAAACAGAAGCAGTTTGGATGAGCTAACTGCAGGCCTGCTGGGAAAACTATTCTTTGATTTCCCTAATCAGGAAAAGTCTCATCCTGGAAGCCTGTAAATATTTTCACAGTGTATTTAGAATGATTTCTAAGTAGATGTCATCACCACACGTTCTGGTATCTGATTTCATTTGCAGTTCCACTGGCATAAAATTAATAGCAAAGTAACAAACCAACCTTTCAGTTTCACCAGATCAGAATTACACAACTTGGATTTCACATTCCTTAAAGGTCTGAACAAATAACGAATGCCTGACGACTCCCAAATTTAGGGATTTACTAACAACAGTTTGGAGCACACAGCCAATTTATCTAAGATGATAACGACTGTGATCCAAAAACGCGAGGATGAAGGAATCACCCGCACTTAACAGGACAAAGGATTACAGGTAATCCTTCTTAATGGATTGGTAGAGTAACAGCACAGGCAGAGAGACCACCAGAGCCCACATCCTACCGACTCTTGCAGCTGGGAAGACGACATATACAT